CAGAAAATTTTATGAAAAGAATACAATTGTTTAAAATTGTACAAATTAAAGACTGAAATCCAGTTAGTGCGAAAGAAATGCGTTCCGTATTTTAAAGCACCCTTTGTAAGGTGAGGAGCTGCTTCTTCTATGTAAAACAAATTACCTGTGTTTTGTTTCTAGTTTAGAAATTTTACACAAAGCTTTGTGGACTTTTTAAGGCGAAAATTGCGGTCTGTTAACGATAATTATTTGAGAGCAAAGGAGTCCAAGCCGTCAGTGAGGCGGGCGGGCGGGGCGCGGGCAACGCTGGCAAGCGAGCAGATGGGGGAGGGGGAAGGGAGGATAGCATAATGGAACCCCTGATAAATGAAAATGGCGGAACCTCCTAGTGGACTTATAAATTAGGACATGATTAAAAGGTGCGATGCCGCCCGCATCCCGGTCAACCATTTATCAAACGGTTAGCGAGAAACGGTCGGGCAGGCAGGTGATTACCCTGTAAAACATCCACGTCAGCAGTTCAAATAGTGGGTGGGCAATGGGTGCGAGCGAGCCAGCGCGGTCTCGCACAAGCTAGGCCCGCTCTTCCGCCAAACCAAGCTACCAGCTCCGCTTCGCTCCACCGGCAACTCGGTTCGGCAGCACGGAAAAAAAAATAATTGGCTGTCTCAGCCAAAAATTGACTCTCTCGGCTAATTCATTATCTCGTATGGCCTTAGGAAATAAAATTGGCCCTAGCAGCTAATGTTTTGCGTGGACCGAAGCAAGTTCAGTCGCTCTGAAAGGTCACGAACAATATCTTGTAAGAGCTAACACACGATTCGCCTTTGCTGCAAACGCTCTTTTTCCCTGGCAGTGAACTTTTTTTCGCCGTCATTGTCGATTCTGTCACTAACGTTGCAAACTGTCCAATACCTATCAACCTTTGTTAGCTGTAGAAGCTAATCTCACTTTTCTGGTACTTATGAGAACATTAGCTCTGGGAGCTAATTGGCTTATGCTATGACGGGCACTAGACTAACTAGCTACTGCAGCTGGTAACATTTACCCATATCTCATGAGAATATTAGCCAAGGCCATATTGGCTGACTGTATCAGCTGTGGCAGCTAACTTTTTTTTTCCGTGAGGAAGCGGGCCTTGCTTGGCCTGCCGGCGGCGTTTGACTGATTTTTATGGTGTAATCTTGATTCTGTGGGAAAACGGGCCTTGGGCCCGTTTTAGTGACGGCTCGCTTTGAACTGAACTTTTGCGATAACTGGTGTTTTGCGATTCACACGCTAAAAGGCATGATAACCCCCAAATATGTGATAGAAGAATCACATTTTGTGATACCATTATCCACATATTTGGGGGTTATCATGCCGCTTAGTGTGGGAGTCGCAAAACACCACACACTAAATCTGAAAGGACTTGTATTGTCCACAGAAAGACGCTTTTTTGTGCAAATCTCAACCAGATGCATATTTGAATCCGGAATCCGGCAAGTGTCGAATCTGCATATTTTTTCTGGACAGTCATTTTTCTGGCTATAATTATCCAATATGCAAATTCCTCACTTGATAGATTCCATTCTGTATCCGGTTGAGATGTGCACAAAAACGCGTCTTTCTATGGACAATAAAAGTGAGATTTAGTGTGCAGTCATCGCATGATTTTATGTTAAAAGTATCGCAAAACCAGCCTCAGTGTTGTGAGGTTCAGAAAAAAATTTAAGTACCATCCGATTTCTACAAAAATAACCTTCAAATTTTCAAAGTTTCGACGAAATCGGAGATTTACACCTCACAAGGTTTCACTTCACTGTAAAAATTCTTTGTCACGATGACGAAAATACCATGGCTAATTTTTAGTACAGGGGTGTCGTCATGGGTTTTTTCGTCACATGATTAAGGTTTTCTCGTCACCGTGACGAGAAAATTCGTGACGACAGCCCTGTACTAAAAATTAGCCATGGTATTTTCGTCATTGTACAACAAATTTTTTTACAGTGTTGTTAGGAGCGGTTACGGAGCACAGACGCAGAACAAAAAAGCTTAAAAGCCGAAGCGAAGTGATTTTTCACAGCAATAAAACATCTAGTTGAATGGCCGTTTTTCATCCAGTAAACGGCACCATTCTTGACACCTGAGTCTGCTCCGCAGCCTCAGTGATGCATGACCGGGGAGGATTCAGGCCCGCGCACGCCACTCTGCGGCCCACGGCGCTGCTGGGTCGTGGTGAAGCGGGGTTCGGGCGGGGCAGGGCGGGGCAAGGTGGGGCAAGGCGGGGCAAGGCGGGGAGGGGCGTTTGGCCGGGGCCGGGGCGTGGGAAGATAATCTGCTCCAGGCGCCGCAGGCCCCGCCACCTCCACCACAGTCAGATCGCTGCGGTCGCGGTCGGGGCCCATAGGGGTTTGTCTGCCACTTGCTGCACTAATCATCATCCACACTGTTGTTCCAAGTGTGACAAATTTCATACAAATTGACACAGCAGAGTTCAGCATCGCTAAAATATCATTCACACATTTTATTGCATCCGTGGGAACGATAATAAAACTATCGCTTTACAAATACAATCCACATTGCACGAAAACTGCAACAGTGACCACCCCGACCAACACGACCACCACAACCACCACAACCACATACAGTGTGGCAAAACAGGGCGAGAGAGTTGCGCCGAGAGACGTGACGTGGTATGTCAATTGGAGCCACGAGTACTCTTCATACGACCCAAATCCCCAGGTATCATTTGCGCACACGAGCGAAAAAAGACTAAGCCCCAAAAAGGACACGTCAGTTGTATTTTCTTTCTTTTTATTTGTTCCTCTTGTTGATCGTGCTCCTCGTTTCAATCAGCGCTAACTATGCCAACATGCTGCTATACGATGCGCGAGGGAGGACGCCTCTCCCCTTTGCTACACACGCGTTCCTCTGTTTCGTTTTCTCACTCAGGATGCGAGTCCTGTCCGCTGCCGAACTTGGGGGGCTGCGGAGAGGGGATGGCGTTGTCCTTGTCGTACACCTGCCGCCAATCACCCCTCTGCAGACACGCAGATGAAGCGGACTACAGGGTGGCGAGTGCAGGTGGACTGAATACGAATGAAGCCCGCCCAGCTCCTCCCCCTACCGGCCCGGCCGGCCACCGCCCACCACAGCCCGCCCTTGTCCCTCTAACTGTGCTGGTCGAAACTATTACACGATTATAATGCAGACAGCAGGTGAGGGATGAACAGCAGGACAGCGATGGATGGGGTAGTGAGGGCTGGGGTTCAATTCCCCCCAACCCCTCAAAGCAAACAGCGACGCAGTGGGGTCCGCAGCCACGGCGGCAAGTGCAACGGTCACGGTAGCGGGAAGGATGCCGAGAGGAATCTTGATTCTTAGTTCACTGGTAATTGTGTCAACGAACGTATGTCCAAAAAAATCGAGTCGATTGAATTTCGGTCTATTTTCAGAATGTATAGTTTTCGTGTCAAAATACCTTTAAATGAAAAAGTTGATTTTTTTGGACATACGTTCATTGACACGATTACCAGTGAGTTTGACCAAAACGAAAATGGCTGATTTTCACCTTCAGTTGGTTGTTTCGTTTAGAGGGGTCAGGACGCCAAATTTTATGAAGCGAGTTTTTTTGGGAAGTGTATGTCATGCTGATACTCATAAAACAAACCCGGGGTCTGCAGCACCTTGATGTGATTTGTCTGGACCTTTTTTTTAAAACCATGCAAAACTCATTACATACAATGGCTACCCCTCCCACCCCTCCTAAAAGGGTGCCGAAGAGGGACGCCAAACCGGGGAGAGGGGGTAAGGCGTCAATAGCCCCGCAAGCATTAAGATGTCAGCACAGGCAGTGAGAATTGCTGAGAGCCCGGCGCGATTGGATGGAAAACCTATAATTGATCGACAAGTCACGCCACGCCACGCAACGCCACGACGCGCCAGTCAGGGGTCGTCAGGGCGGAGCTCTGAAATTCAAGTTCAATGTCAGTCTATTACTTTTCCGCTGCCCTTGGTGCGGCAGGGTTGTGAGCAATAAAAAATGTAAATGTGTACAGAGAGAGAGGGGGAGAGAGAGAAAGAGAGAGAGAGAAAGAGAGAGAAAGAGAGAGAAAGAGAGAGAGAGAGAGAGAGAGAGAGAGAGAGAGAGAGATATGCGAGATGAGATGGGGCAAGGGTAGAGGGATGGAAACGCGTCAAGAAAAAGGGACAGACGATACAACGGAAGGGGAAGGTATAGTAGTGAAGGGAAGAGGGGATGGTAATTATAATCGTGGCACAAAAACTACCCTACCCTCTACCCGTCTAGGCGAGTAAGGTAAGGTACAGTCGAAGTAGGAGACAAGGGTGAGGGTAGAGGAGTGGAGAGGGGGGGGGGGGGAGAGAGAGAGAGAGAGAGAGAGAGAGAGGGGGGGGGGGGGGGGGGGGGGGGGAGACTGGTGAAAGAATGGAAGGCAGTAAGTCTCCGTTTGTCGACAATTAAAGCAGAACGAAACAAATGAAGAGCGAATTAGCGAGGAATCCTCAGGAACTAATGACAAGAGGAGTTTCTCGCTACCGTCCCCTGCGCGGCGGCACTCTGCGCAACATGTTTTATTCAGCCGAGACGAAGGGAATAAGGGTCGGGGTCACGCGCCAGTATTTCGGACGGAGAGTGGAGGGAGAGTTCACACCTTTCTCCAAGAATTTCACCAATAGCAGCCTCTTTACAGTCTCAGGGCCAGGGCGCTGGAGCCACACCTTGGGAGTCATCAATCTGAGCGTACAATTTAAAAAAGCACCCAGAGAAGTGTCGAGCTCTAGCAACCATCGTATGGTTACCATAATCCGGTTACAAAATTAACTATCATGCAGTTATTGGAACCATGTTTTAGTTCTCACGGCCATTTTATGATGGTTGCTACAGCTTTCTGTTTTTTTATGGGAGAGTGTAGCCCGAGCCTCGTGAGACATTTTCGTACTGTTTTTTTTCCTTAACTAGCATTTTAAAATTATCGAGAAGCACTGGAGACCGACAGGCGTGTCACATGGCTCACCTCCAGCGGTAGGAACCGTCGGGGGCCTGATCGAAGCTCTGCTGGACGATGGGCACGAACGGACCCGGCGGCTGGAAGCGACCCGGCTGGAAGGGGCCGGGCTGGAAGGGGCTGGGCTGGAAGGGGCCGCCTGGGGGGCCAGGAGGGCCCAGGGGGCCGGAGGGGCCCAGTCCGGGGGGTAGGGGCGCTCCATTGGGACCCTGCTGGGGCAGCGGCTGCTGGGGCAGCGGGCCGCCAAACTGTGGCACGCCCTTCACAGCCGCGACCGCCGCCAGGACGGTCAGCACCTGCGGGACGAAACATCGATCACTTAGCCGGCCAGGGACAGAGCATTATATAGAAATATTTTATGGCAAAGTTGGGCGACTCTTCATTGCATAACCGTAACTTGCTAAAAATTATATTAAATTTAAAATGTTATTCTTTGGCCTGTATTTTGCCCACCGTCATATCATTCACAACTTGAGGACAGTCAAAAAACTTAGTTCTATGACGCGTATAGAAAGCTACAAACGCGGCACTGGGATGTTACACTTGTACCGAGCTAGTAGGTGGCCGACGAGGCAAACAGTAAGACAGAATCAGAAACAGTCACATTCTCACTAACAGACACGCGCGCCGCTCGCACGCAGCATACCGATGGTAATAGCGATGGCAACAATTAATTCGCACGGTGCTTTTACGGGAGAGAGAGAGAAACTCAGTGGACTTGAGAGCGAAAGAGATGCGAGAGGGGTTTCCTCACCGTGTCCCTTGCACTCATCACCTCAGCTGCGTCTTCTCTCACACGACACACATCATCAAACGCCAGTACGTGCGACATCAGCGATTCTACGCGTAATTCCGCGCGACCATTAACTTCGGATTCATACATTCTGAACGTGAGAGAAAAAGGTTGCAGTGCCACACACGTGCAATGCGTGAGCTCCATTGTGCGCTGTTCGACATGTACTCTGCAATAAATCAACAATAACAATAGCAGAAAAAATAATGCATTTCCAAGAGCATATTTTTGTTAATTATTATGTCGCTGACCTACTGCACCTTACGGCCCCGACCGGATAGATAGGAAACAAGCCCACGCGCCTGCAGGCGATACAGTAAAACTACAGAAAAGATGAGTAGGGTTAATAAGCCACCTGGCTAGGGGTGCACGGTAAAAATGACATCTTGGATTTCAAGCGATCTACTTGGTTTTGAAGAGAGTTTTCAAGGAATCTACTTGAATTCCAAGATGTTCTTTTTACCGTGTGGCTATGGCTAAAACTCCATACAAATGTGTACACCGGATGACCGAATTGTAAAGATGTCCAATGATTACTAAAGATTGCCAATGAGTACTAGGCATGATCCGCCTGCATTCTTAAATCTAAACGGCCTTTTTAAGTCCCGATAAAGATTTTTGGTCACATCTTCGGTATAGTTCTTTAATTATTTATCTTGCAAGTTACCAATTTGCATTCTATGATCGTACAAATCATATTTTTGTCCATGGGAGAGATTCGCAAAACTCGTCGCAGATTAAACATGCGCTTTTGTAATGTAAGTCTCAATCAACAAATTTGCCCTTTTAAAAGACCCACACGAGAGTAAGGATTACCAGGGATTACCAGGGATTACCAGGGGTTAGCAGGGGTTACCAAGTCTCTGTACTCCTGATTACCACAATTGGCTCACAAAGTCAGAGAACAAAATTATTAACAGCTTCTTGTTAATTAAAATACATTTAAAGTGTGTCCACCTATTTCTTTGCTGTTGGTATATAGAAAAGGCAAAACCTGTTGTTTCGAACATGGCAAAACATGGCTCTGAAGTAAACCGCAAAAACTACTTGCAAACAATGTGTTTGCATTGCAAAGAAATAGTTTGCATGCTTGCAAAGAACCAGTTCGTATTACAACACTTAAAAAAAAAATTGCAGGCTGAAAAGAAAAGAGTTTGCAATGCGAACCTATTCATCTTTGCAAGCATTTCTTAGTGCGTAATGACCGGTATTTTGACCCCCAAAAAAAGGCAATTTTTCAGTGTTGCCTCCCCAAGCCATTTTACTGAACTGCGTAGTTTCATCGCATTGATCACAGTGACAAACAACCTTTTCTTTCCGCGGACTTGGGAACATCCCTTTGACAGTCAAAAAGTGTTATTTCCTTGAAAGAAACAAGGAACGTTTTCATTGTTTCAAAGTATAAAGGTCCTTACAATAGATAATTTTCCATTAATTTAGGCATTTTTTCCTTCTATTAATGAAAACATTTCGTTCTCTTTATTTTAGGAAAATTTACTTAATTAAAGGTCAATTTCCTTAACGTGTTCTGCGCCTTGTCTCAAGGAAACGATTTTCTGGGAGCACTATGCATCGATTTATAATAGTCACTGGTTAAGTCACTCGCTCACTCACTCGCTGACCACTCACTCACTCACACACTCACTACACAACACACGGACACAACACTTCCACGCAGCTACAATGTCTCCCCCAGGTCGAATAGGCGAAGCAGTTAGACGCACCAGGTGTCCCGGCGCCATTGTCTTGAGATGGAGAGCGAGTGTCGGCCGAACGGCAACAACTGTGAGTCGGTGGCCAGCCGTGCCAGGTTTTATATCGGGCAATAGTGGGGGCGGGCGGCCGGGCCGGGGCTGCACTGCGCGCCCGCCCCCCTCCCTGTGGGCCTGTGGGGCTGCCGGAGGCACTTCCCCCGCAACAAACCGCCGCGAGGTCAGCGGTGCGGCCGCCCTGCAGGGGGCTGGCCAGCACACGCCGCATGTCGTACAATGGGAAGGTGTCCGGTAGCTTGGGGGGGCTGCACTGGGAACACAAAGGTAGAATTTAGTGTCTTTCGAGAGGAACGCGAAAGTGTCCTACGCTACGCGAATGAAGAACCTTTCCGGCAGTTTAGTACCTTTATAGGGATAGGGTTACACTTTCTAAATTTCTCAGGATAGTTTTTGTAATAGCACCGGACTTCTGTGTGCAGAACTAAGACCAGATTGAGCTAGTAACCAAAAGTTTCCTTAGACATTAAGAATCTGCTAATCTTCTAGGCTTGTCTACACCATAAGTGAACAAATGCATGAAAAACAATTGTCACCCAATAAAGTAAATACTACATGATATGATACTCCTTAAGTGCTGAAGTAAAATGTCGTGGTTTAACAAAAGAGGCGTTGGTCTACAACATTGCATCAAATAGGCTCTGTTTGTATTTGGTATTTTAAAAATTAATTAAGACACATTGGCATGCCT